AATTCAGATCACCCGGCAGAGCAGGGAGCCAAGAACATTAATTTTATTGACCGTCTTGACAAACTCCAAATTAGAAAAAAAAAAAAAACAAAACCCACCAAAACCACCCAGATTGAGCTGTATTCAGCATCCTCGTTGGCACGGCAACTGCGGGGCTAGCACAACTGGCTCTGGGGCTAGTCGCACACTGGTGGAGAAAGCCCAAGACCCCAGTTAGCCATCGCCCAGTTAATTAACTTCCTCTTCTTCCCTTCCTTGCCCAGAAATGAAGCCTGGAGCGGAAGCGATGGGAAAAGCCTCCCGGGACTCGCTCGGCTCTGCCTGACCCCCGGAGCAGGCAGCGGGCAGGGTGGCCGCTGCCGGGACCTGCCCAGCTGGGCTGCTGGGATCCCGGTTGATCCAATTCCCCCAGCGGCTGCTCCAGCTCATTAAACTCTGGTTTTGATACGGCCTGCTGGGGTGACGTCTGTAACACGGTGGACGGGCCAAGCTCACCTGCTCTCTTCCCACATTTGGTCTTTCTCCTTACGTACTTTTTTCCCAGAAAAATAAGGGTTCAAAAAGGGTTCATCAATCAATTTTTTTTTTTTTTTTTTTTTTGTGCAGAGACTCTCTCGGGTGGCTTATTCCGAGCGCTGGGTGCCATGTCACGCCTCTTCTGCACAAATTTCCCTGCCGTTACAGCAGGAGGGAGAGAATGGAGGACGAAGGGATGATCCTCTGAAGGAATAAAAAGGACCCAAAAATAAAAGGAGCCGGTTTATTAACTAATTTATTAGCACAGGTGGAAGGCACTCACTACTGCTACAAAGCAACGTGCCCTGTGCAGCTCCACATCCCAGCCCCAGTCTTTAGCACTCAGTTGTGGAGTTTTGGGGGTGTTTTTTTTTTTGGCAGAGCTCCTCTCTCCCCAACCCCTCCACCCTGGATCCTGCGAGCACCCTGCTGTGGGGACCAGCTCTTCGTGCCCCAAAAAGTTGGGATGTCCCGGGGGGTGCCAGAGCCAGCTCTGCAGGCAGGGAGGAGCAGCAGCGAGGGGTTCAACTCCTGTCAGTGTATCCCGCTGCTTGTCTTTAATATAATTTCTCATAAATTTAATTTTATA